GATGGCAGTTGGTTAAGCATCCAACTTGATTTCGACTCAGGTCATAATCTCACGGCTTGAGATTTAAGCCCTGCGTCCAGCTCTGTGCTGACATCACGGAGCCTGCTTGGGATTCTCCCTCTCTCTCTCTGCCCCTCCCCTCAAAATAAGTAAATAAACCTAAAGGAAAGGTCTGTGAATTGGGAGGAATGGGCAAGGAGGACTTGAACCCTCTCTGAGAAGATACACTCCCCGTCTTTATTTTTAATATTAAGCCTTTCCATAAATGTGGGGCAAAGGAGGGGTTTCTTTTAGACTGGTGGACCACAGCAGCCCTAGTCTTTTTGCAAGAGCCCTTCCGTAAGAATTTTCTCCACTCCAAGACCTTCATTACCAATAATTAATTTCAGACGGAAGGTTCAGTACTCCAGGCTTCCTCTGTCTTTGACCCAGGAGAACAGGCAGTGAATAGTTTGTTTGTTTGCTTGCCAGAGATCTTATCTTAACCCAGAAGAGCTGATAGGATCAGAAAGCCAGAACTGATCTTTCCTCCTCAGTATTCTTTCTCTACAAAATGGGGGCTGTGATACCTTAGCCCAAGACAAACGTGGGATTAATATATGTCACGAGTGGAGAAAAAAAGAGGTTGCTTGTTTTAATAATGGCTATATTTCATAGCAAGAAAATCGAAATCACTCTGTAGTGTGTTCTAATCCCCATTCTTTCTCTGCTCTTTCTCAATGTATTTGGATTAATCAGTACAGAGCAACCAAGCCAAATGTCCAAACCACCCACTTTCCTATTCCCAGCAAATAAATTAGAGGGAGGCCAGCTGAAATCTGGGCCAAGAACTTAGCTGACTTGTACGTCTGACTTTTGTTCCATGATCTGAAACTCAAACTAAAGCAAAAAGGAAAAATTTTCCAGATACCAGCCTCTTAGTCCTTCACACACGCAAAATTGATAAACAAACCTGTGAACACAGATGCAACGATTTGGAGAATGATCCCTATAGGCACAAACAGATGCTTTCCTACTGCAGTCTTCCTGAAGCCCATGTTCAGCTTTGGGCTCTAAAACTTGAGTGAAATCAGAGGGACTTTTTAGGATCCAGAAGGAAGTGGTGAAAGGCTTAGAAAACAGGACCTTTGAAGAAAGGTTGTAGGAGACAGATTTTGAACTCAGTAAATAATGTGTGATCAAGAAGAAGCTTGCGGGGCGTGGAGGGGGCTCCCTGGCTGGGTCAGTCGGCTGAGCTCCTGACTCTTGGTTTCAGCTCAGGTCACAATCTCACAGTT